TAATATTCATGTCGTTGACCTACGAGAGGGCTGTGGATAAAACAAAGATTTCAGGAAAGACTGTTCCTCTCAACCAGCCGGTGGAAGCAGATGGTCCTCTTGTCCTGATCCTGGTTCTGCTGGAGGTTTCTTCCTCATGAGGGAGTTTTTCTTTCCACTGTCGCCTTCATGCTTGTTCAACATGAGAGTTCAGTGATGGAGTTCAACTCAGAGCTGCTCCTCAGATAAATAATGTTCAATGATTATTTTGTACATGAATGTTTCTGTTCAGTCCCTGAGACGATTCAGTTGTGACTCGGAGCTGAAGAAATAAACTGAATTGAATTGATATCTAAAGTTAAAGTCGGTGTTGACCACATCCGACCTTGAAAGATGAGTCCATGCATGCACTGCGACCCGGCTGGACTGCTGCAACGCTCTTCGTGTTGGGCTCAGTCAGGTGTCCCTCTCACGCCTCCAGCTCGTCCAAAATGCTGCAGCTCGGCCGTTAACAGGAACTCGTAGGTTTCAGCACATTTCACCAGTTCTGGCCTCCCGTCACTGGCTCCCTGTACACGTCACAATTGATTTTAGAATTCTCCTGCTGACCTTTCAGTGCATCAACGGCCTCGCTCCCTCATACCTCTCTGACCTACTTTTTCATTTAGCCTTCATTTCTCCAGGTCGTCTCATTCATGAGAACTCATTTTCAAGACAGACCTGTTTTTGGGAGCACGTGTGGGGGTTAAGGGCCTTGCTCAGGGGCCCAGAGTGGAGCAAATGAGGGTGGAGGCAGGTGTGGGTGTTTCACATTTTCCACCAACATTTTGATGTTGACGATACCGGGAGCTGAACCTGCGACTCTCCCATCACAGGCCCATCTTCTCTAACCTCTGCGCCACCACGCCCCTACTTCAACCATGTGTTCCTTCTCGAGCACTGGGATCATCTAACCAGCTCTTTCTGGTTGAAGCTCTGAGGAGATCTGGCCTTTTCAGTCATGGGCCCTAAAGTCTGGAACAATCTGCCCCAACATCAGACAGGCCCCTTCACTTCCTGTTTTTAAAACACGCCTGTTTTCTCTGACTTTTAGCTCAGTGAGATTTAACAGAAGCAGTCACACTGTTGTTTTTCTCTTTTCTTCTTTATCCTTCCCAAACATTTTTCAGCAGCCAACTACTCCCACAGTTTTTGTGCTACTTCAACAATTCATATGTCAAACCATTCAGCTGTCTGAGGACAAGTCGCTATGATGTCATTTTGGCTATCACTGAAAATTAATGGAGCTTATTTTACAACCTTAACTAAGGAATTTGCATTTTGAATGCCTGTTGCTTACGAATGTCCAGAAAACTGTTGAAAGGTAACTTGAAACATCAGGAGGAAGCAGAACGTGCACAGTGTTCCAACGTAAAGGACTGCCGGGCTGCTCTTCATATCAACTCTTGCTCCGACGCTACTATGAGTTTGGGTTTGCTCTCAGCTACCACTATCCCAAATTTCAGCTGCATAGCTATGAAAAATGCTTGAGCTATTGTATTTTTTCATTTTTAGCTATGGTGGCCATCTTGGATTTTTGATTTTCAATCAGAGTCTATTAGGGATCTTTGTCAGCTACCAATATGCCAAGTTTCAGCTGAATAGCTGTGAAAATGGCAGTTATCCTAGTTTTTCTCCAAACAGCTGAATAAAGAAATGTAGAAAGAAGCTCAACTTTCCAAAAGGAAGTGGAGAAGCTCAACTGTGCCCACTAAGGCTGAAACAGGCAAAAATGAGCACAATAAGGTTGAAATTATCTGAGAAGAGCTCAAATTTGCTAAAAACAGCTGAAGAGTAGCTAAAACAAGCAGAAAGAAGCTTAACTTAGTAGAAGTAAGTTGGGAGAGCATGTTTTTGCTGAATTAGGCTGAAAAAAGTTTAAATATTTGCAAAAAACAGGAATTAGCTGAAAAAGATTAAATTAACATCAAAACAGCTAAATGCTAGCTGAAAGAGCAGAAATTGCTGAAACCTACAGAAATAACCTAAAATTAGCAAATCAAGTTAAAATTAACAGAAACAAGTTTGAAGCAGGGGCGGCACGGTGGTGCAACTGGTAGAGGTGCTGCCTCTCAGCAAGCAGGTCCCTGGTTCAAATCCCGGTCCAGGGGCCTTTCTGGGTGGAGTTTGCATGTTCTCTCCGTGCATGCGTGGGTTTTCTCCCACAGACCAAAAACATGCATGTTAGACTGATTGGTAACTCTAAATTGCCCCTAGGTGTGAGTGAGAGAGTGAATGGTTGTTTGTCTCGTTTGTCTCTATGTGTCCCTGTGATGGACTGGAGACACGTCCAGGGTGTCCCCCGCCCCTCGCACAGTGATTGCTGGACATGGGCACCAGCGACCCCCGTGACCCACGATGGAAGAAGCGGGTAAAGATAACTCCCAAAAACTAGTTGGAGAAGATGGCGCTAGTGTGTGTGGCTTGCCGTCTCTCGCTGTTTGTGTTCGTGCTGTTTTTGTTTTTTATCACCAGTGCCAGTTCTCCGCTTGTGTATGATCGCCAAACATTGTTGGATCTTCGTCTCTCTGCCAAGGATTTAGTGAAATTCGACACCGATTGTGGTGTTCACACGACGTTGCAGCAGTTTTCCTTCACCAGTCGGACACCTGCTCACCTCTGCCACACCCACGCTCCTCTCCCTCGGCGTAAACGCCGGTGCCGCCGGGGCGAACGCAGCGGACGACTGTTAAACATTAAAGCTTTCTTGGCACGATTTCCTGTGGTCTCCCGAAGGAGAAATGGAGTGGTACCTGGTCTCTTTCTGAGCCCGCGGTCGCTGGACCCCGCTGACAGCTGGCTGGTGTGTGCTGTCAGTTCGGATGACGTGGTCCGCCCCCGCGGCCCCTGCGGCCCCTGCTCTCCCCGTCCTCGCCGGCGTGGTGTAAATCCCCGCCATCTACGAGCCCTGCGTCGGGCTCCACAGACAGCTGCAGCTTGGGATGCACCGGCCCCTGCCAGGTTTGGCCTTGTTAATGCAAGATCACTGTCAAATAAAACTTTCATCTTGAGGGATTTCTTCATGTCCCGTGATCTGGATTTTCTCTGGGTAACGGAGACATGGCTGAGAACCGGCGAGCCCACCGCTCTTATTGAACTGTCACCACCTGACTGCTGCTATTTTAATTCCCCGCGCCTGTCGGGTCAGGAAGGAGGAGGAATAGCAGTTGTTTTTAAAAATGATTTTAAATGCCGGCAGATCAGCCTGCAGTCTTCTTTTACAAGTTTTGAACACTGCTCATTTGAAATCGGCCGCGCTCATGTTGTCTTGTGTGTCGTCATCTATCGGTCACCCAAGCACAATAAGGATTTTATAAATGACTTTTCAGAATTTCTGGCTGACATCCTGCCCAAATATGATTACCTTCTCATTCTTGGAGATTTTAATATTCGCGTCTGCTGCCCAGAAGAGCCGATCTCCAGGAGCTTTTTAAATGTTCTTGACTCTTTTAACTTTGTACAGTCTGTGTCTGGTCCTACTCATGAACTCGGGCACACACTTGACTTGGTCCTGTCTCATGGTCTGGATGTTTCCAACTTGGACATATGTGATGCTGTTTTTTCAGATCATATGCCCATCCTATTTGACATTCCCACTCACTGTCCAGTTAAAGTGCGTGCTCCTCCTCAGCGCTGTCGCATGTTTAACTCCTCCTCTCCAACCTTGTTCTCCTCCACTTTTCTTGGTCTCTGCGAGGATAACTCTAAAGACTCTCTTAGTTTAAATATTGATGAACTGGTTTCCAGCTTCCACTCTGTCTGTTTACAACCACTGGACACGATCGCTCCTTTGAAGAACCGGCGCACCAAACCTACCCCCGAACCCTGGCTGGGTGACGTCACGTGCGCTGCCGGGCGCGAGTGCAGAAAAGCGGAGCGCAGGTGGAAAAAGGACAGACTACATGTTTCTTTTAATATTCTCAAAGAGAGTCTGTTACATTATCAGAAAACTGTAAAAGCCGAGAAGAACAAATATCT